AAGTAAACCATATTTTAACTTCTTACTGCACTCGGGTGGACTTATGCTAATTAATGTAATAGGATTCATAGCAAAACTTGATATTAGTATAAACTTTTATGCGATAATAAGTTGGAATAATGCTATGAAAGTCACAATTAATCGCAAAGGATAATCAAATATCAATTTCTATGTGTTATTTATGTGTGGTGAAGATAAGATTAATCTGAGATATTAATTTGTTTTTAGCTATAGAATTTAATGCGTAGGAATAAAATATATCTAAAGGGAAAAGAAGAGGCGAAAGGAATATCTAATGTGTCGATAGGCCAATCATGATGATAATAAAAATAATAATAATCATAAATACGAACATAAGCAAACTCCAGATAATATGATGAATAGAATACAAAGAAAACAGACGAAAAAGTTTAAAAGGTTATACTTTACTTTTCGGTCAATCAGATAGATAATAGACCTTGTTTGTGTAAATCATTGTTAAACACATTGAAATTCAATGGGTGACACAATTCACATTCGGAAAAAAAATCATCAAGGAGACTTCTGAACCGGTCTATAATTATGTATGCATGTGAGCACTTACTACATAGCGGATAATATCTTTGTACGGGATATCGTGTTTTCGAAGCGAATTCCTGTTTTGGTTAATTCAGTTGGCATAATGGTAATAGGTCTCTCACATAATTTTGAACTGCCGATTTGAAAGATATTACTCAGCTGTAGTCAAGAAATGATATAGTGAAGACACGCAGTCTGGAGATGAGGTTGTTTTAAGCGCTTAGGATCGAGAATATTTGGAGCTACGAGTGCTATAGCTAGGAGCATTATAGTTAGGAAAGTTAAACTAACCATATTTAGGGTTATGAGATTTCGTTTCAGGGTAACCCATATGAGATGCCAGCATGTCTATCCATGTTACTCCTCACTTAATTCCATAAATGCACACCAATTAACTATTCACCGTTCATTGAAATTAATGTTTATTTGTACTGTTTTGTGCTTTGGGCATTTAAAATTCAGTTGGTCATCTGTAGTTCATACTTTTGTGTAAGGAGTGATTGATTCATTATTCGTTGAGTTATCATGTTCAACTCCTCGTATCTGAATCTATTCAATTTTATTATTCACTCATTGAGCCTAACTCCTCACATGAATATCTGGAATATACGTGTCCTAGTGACATCTCGCATTCGACATTTATTTTCACGTTATACTAATATGAATAATCTGGATGACAACACGAAGTTAAATAAGCCATAATTTACAAGCATCATCGTTAAATCATATTGAAGTTGACAGTAGGTGCTAAAATGTCATTACTATTCTAAAATGATAAGCAAAGAGACATTTTATGTAGCTATTAAGAATAACATTAACAGCAAACGTAGTCTAGGTAATTATATTTAAATTAATTGGGGCATCAAAGACTGCAATGAAACCCTAAAATCAAAAGATACACCATGCCAAGTGAAACAACAATCATGATTTACAAGGACAACAAAGTAGCGTACATGCTTCTTTTCGAGTGTAGACTTGACCAGTAGATATAATACTGGTAGACAAAACATTTAAGCAGCTAAAGACACCAGAACGAAGGCTGGCTTTCATGTCACGTTTTCGACCATCTGAATCCCTTTATCTCAGCCGTCGACTAAGACGAAAGAAAGAGGAACCAACTGAGAGACCCATGTCTCTGCTAGTAATTTGGCTAATCCAACCCTCTATTCTCAATTAAAACTGGCATCGCTAGTACTCTCGTCAGTCCACTTGTTTAACTACTCTCTCTCTATTCCCAGAATTCTCAGAAAGGCTCGACGCGGCGCCGCACGTACTCTTCATGGCGAAGATGGATTTCATTGACTCACTTCTATCTTGACTTGTTAACAACCTAAGTGATAAGATGATTCGTACCAAGATAAATAAAGTCCACTCGGCTCGAACGGTCTAGACTTCTGTAGTTTCGCAGGTAAAATTCTTAGATCCAATTATGTGCCTGACATTTATTAATGACCTTCTAGATAAAACAAACTTAGCTGCGTTAGTTTATGCGGGCTATGCGAGGATCTGAAGGCTCACAGAGAACGAAAAGAATTCATTCGAGATTCAAAATTATCTGGAGACAATATAGGAATGTGGTGTACAAAATGGGTTAATACAACGTATGCCGGAGTGTTGTGTCAAGAAAATTTGGGCTCCATTTTATACAAAGAACTTATATCCTTCATGAAACTTTGCTCGATATTTTCTAATCAGATCACAACCCGGACTAGTAAGAAGAGATCTTAGACACCGGCTCAAACTGCATGGCAGTTGGAACGAAGGCGAACTCAGCTCTTCATTTGATGCGGAGGCAAATTAAAACGACCACCTCCGAATTGTTCCTGACACCGATTGATACCTAATCACGTCCTCCCAGTGAAGTCCACACCGCTTTCGCGCACAGCAATACAAAATAAACTCCTAGAAAAAGTACACAGACGAGAACCAAGTGTGTGACTGGGCTAGTGGTAAATTTTATAAAAACACACTTAGACTTATTCTCGAGGTGATACAGGAGGATAAAAGGTTACTTCATGATACAATACAACATGTTAACTACTACGACCTAAAACGAGCATCCTATCGGATCATCACCATCACACGCTTCGAAGTAACCCCAGGAAAATTAAGTCAAAGAACCGACGACAAAATACGCTCCCACTCTTTGTCATTCAGAGTTACTTCATTTTGGAATCCTCTCTAAGCCGAGTCGACAACGACCCTTTCTATGGAGATGAGAGTTGAAACACACGCGCTCACCCACTGATTACTGTCTCCACCTTAAACTAGCTGTGCCTGATGCATGTCTAGTAAATTATCCACAATTATCATCAAACATTATCCTGTGCTTATTATTTTCGTTTCCCCTTTTTAATACTTAGAAATCTGACTCTTAACTCTGTCTGAATCGCCAACTAATTAATTAATTAATTAATTTGCTTGTTTTGTTCATGAGACGTTCGTCTTTTTTTAGCATTCGAATTTCCACTTTATTGCTTTTCGCATTGTAAACAACCATCCTCCTGCTTGTTCAGGTGATATTTTCTGGCATTCAAAGACCATATTGCAAGAAGACAAACACACGCATTCGGACTACAAGGTATACAAACCCACAAATAACTATCAAAATGACTAAAATCAGTGCAGCTGAGTGGCTAGACTACCACCCATTGAACGTTACCGAATACCTGGAATTATGCCACGACAACAAGAAGGAAATGAAATAAGCTCGTTCGCTCTGTACATGCTTGTCACAAATATATTATATTCTGGGTATTAGAAAGACTTGGAACAAGGTTTCACACGTATGTTGTAGCGTGGCGTCGAGTTGAGATTAACTGTGAACACCGCTACCAATAAACACGTGCCAATTAGATCAGAAGGCGTAAGAAGCTCGTTCCAAATGACTCCATAAAATCCCCGAGAAGCCGAATACCAGAAGGCAATTAATGGACCAAGTCGAGTTATATTTGCTGGCGATCTCGTGGCATCGAAAGGATACCGAGATCGTGCCAGCATACAAGCTTGGTTACAGAAGGTAACCGAATTCGCGCGAAGTTACAATCGAAGTGTAAGTATAAGAATGGAAGCACAAAATAGCTGTCATTAGCACAGTCAAACAAAAGCACATTAAAACAAACACTGGTACAGTTGGTTATAATAATAATTGTTTTTATTAAACCAGTCGTGTTCTCGTGATAAACGTGAGTCACTACAAGGTCTTATGCAGAAGCTCACGAGCTTCCGAATAATAGGTACTGTACATGAGTGGAAAAGAAACTTCTTATGTGACCGTAGACAGAGAGTGAGGGTCAACGGACACTATCCGATTGGAAGCCCGTCAAAAGTGGTATACCTCAAGGCACCATCTTAGGCCCTCTGCTCTTCCTTCTCTACGTTAATGAGTTACCGCTGTTACTCAGGTCGTCGACATTATTGTTTGCGGATGATGTAAAAATCTGGAGAACAATAAAAAGTGCGGCTGGTCATTTGGATCTTCAAGCTGACTTAAACAATTTAAATAGATAGACTCGAAAGTGGGGATTAGAAATCAATGCTCGGAAGAGTGTGCTAATGCAATAGTAGTTACCGTTATACTATTGAGGGTAAACCTCTTCCATGTGCTCAAGAACATACAGACTTAGGAGTAGTAATAAATCATGATTTAAAAACAACTACGCATTGCAAAGCAGCCGCTGTCAAATGTTTTCGTGCGTTATGGTAACCTCGCCGAGAGTTCAAATCTTTTGACGAGGAATTGTTTCGAATTTTATATCCCATATATGTTAGGCCACATTTAGAGTACTGTATCCAAGCAGCTAGCCCGTGTCTGGTAAAGGATACTAACTCCCTTGAGCGTGTCCAGCGTGTGGGAACGAAATTAGTGAAGGGTCTTTCTAGACTCCCTTACGATGAGCGTTTAAAACGCCTAAACCTTTTCCCCTTGTCGTATCGTAGGACACGAGATAACCTTATACTGGCATTTCATATGTTTAATTATGATTTGAGTGTCAATATGTCTTATCTTTTTGTTCCATCCAGCACTAATAATCTCCGAGATCATGGCAAGAAGGTTCATAAACCACGATCTAATAAACTTAAAGTGGGTTCCGTTCTTCTCATCGAGTAGTCAATGGTTGGAACGCCTTACCCGAACAAGTGGTATCAGCCCTATCAGTGAATATTTTCAAGGAGAAGCTGGACCTTCACTGGAAAGCAATGTGTCAGGATTAATACAGGTTCACCAAACTACTATCCTTATTACTGAAGACTGACTGAACACCATGAGGAGAATAGAAAGAGCTTAGTCAACCTAAATTAACCCACTGGAATGATATTGGGTGGTGAACAAAATCCCCAAGAGTCTTTTAAGTGGAAGTCTGACAGATTAGCGTATTAAATAACCCATTTATTCTGTCTCCTGATTGGTCATTTTGGGTATGATCTCAAGGTAGTTCGTACAGCTTTACCGCGTAATTTCTTATCCTGACTCCTAACAGCGGCTTAATTTAAATAACCAACATTAACTCGTAATCCTATTTTGAGCCGGGTAGGTGACTAAGGTTTCGCGGTCATTTTTGGGATTGCTCGACGTCGTCTCCATACTTGAGGCCTACGTAGGCTTGGTACCAGTTAAGTATCTGGAAAAGTGTGAGCCATATGGCTGTACGCTATCGTACAGTGATGACCAACTATTGTACTTACACATTTCTGAAATGATTGTAAGGGAGTGGTAGGTATAGACATTAATACCTTTCCCTTTCCCAAACAACCAAAAAAGTGGAAATAAAGGCGAACAAATGGGAAATAAAGGGGTAAATGCTTTGGAAGAGAAGGGGGAAATAAAGGGGAAAACGCATCAGAATGTCGCCTTTTTCGCCTGTCCGAAGGAAATGCTGCTGATTTCCCCCTTTTTGCCGCTTCGTCGATAAATTGCCAACTTTTCCCCTAAATATCCGCCAAATTGCCCACTTTTCACCTAAATATCCCCGAATTGTCTACTTTTCGCCTAAATATACAGAATTCCATATTTTCGATCCATTGACATAACCCCAAAGGTCTCCTATGTTCGCCTTTATTTCCAACAACAAACCACACTAAAACTGCAATCCACGGAAAAACCGGTATATTTTAAAATAATTCTATTGAAAAGGAAAAGCGTATTATTGTACAACATTATTGCAGAAGCTTGAGCATCGATTGTTTTGCATTTCCATTGCAATTGCCAATTCATTGTTATTTAAAAAGATCTGCAAAAGAAGAAACAGGTGGTGTATTATTGATAAGGCATGTGCATTTAATCGCTAGTTCACTGACAATCAAACGCACATTCTCAACACTTCTATAGTTTCCCATGTAAGTAATAAAGTAAGCTGTTTTATAAAATAATGTTTATTAAAACTGAGGTAGAACATAAAGAAAATTGCACGGACTATTCCCTACAGCCACGTTCGTTCGGCTATTGAGAATTGAGGTAGTCGTCCTGTGAATTCTGAAGTTAAAAAAAACAAAAATCGTCACAACGACATCTGAATGACATGCTCTGGCACAGCCAAATGCTTGAAGCTGAACTTACGGTTATGTTCGTTAATGCTGTAGACTATAACTATAGAGCCATAGGGAAGTTATCACTTGAAATTAGTACATACCTGATCTTGTTTTCTTCTATTACGCTTTTCACTTTGTCTCTGACATCGTGGAAATAACCTTGTGTCGCGATGTCGAACAGCTTAGCAAAGTCTTTTTCGTTGACAGCGGATGACAGAAAGCGATTTGTTAACGCACCTGAAGTTTAAATACTAAATATGAGTTACTTCGTATGCAGCCGTAAAACCGGCATTTCTGAAGTGCGCGTTTCGAAGAGGTGCCAAGTAACGTAAATTTACTGACAACCTCAGGTGTTAAGAGGTGTGACAGAACATACCACATTGATGTTTTCGGATCGTCACTTGGTAACCTCGTAACCATTGCCATCTGTAATAGTAACAAATTATTAAATTAATGTTGATGGCTTACAAATCGGTCCCTGGTTTCTTTCTGCTGCAAACCAGTGTCCAGCATCTGCAGTTCCTCTTCAGATGACAAAGGGAGCTGCTGACTCGAGATTCCGCAATGGAATTGATGCGGTTTTCCGCGTTCATTAGACTTAGATAGTAATTGCTTTACATTAATATTCAAGTCAGTAATGGCCGAGGAAATGTTGTGCATCGTTTTATTCAAGTCAGTGATAGCTGACGACATATTCTGCACCACTGTATACAACCTATCGAACCTGAAAAAGTTCACTTGATGATGCAGGTGACTTACAGGTCCGCTATAACACCACTGACATGCTTAGATTCCGATGTTGACGGTGACGTCTCTAATTGCGTCGAACTAATTCGTGAACATCTAAATAATAATGAAGCTTACTTGGCAATTGGCGAGACGAATTTGTCAAACAACCGAAGTTTTGGATATTGTACGTGGCGATTGCCAGCCTGCATCTCAGCCACGTCCATGTCCACTGAATTGTAAAGAAACGCTTCTTTCCGTTTCATTGCACCTCTAGGAAATGTTAGTAAGATTATTGCACAGACCTCTTGGGCTTTTCTGTGTTTTGTGGCAATGTGTTTTCATCCGTAGAAGTGTTTCTACGATGAGATTCCAGTATTTGCAGGGAAATTCAAAGATCTTTCGCAGACTGCAAAGAATCTATAGTGAATTATAGTTTCTATGTTTGTTACTTACCAAATTCGTGAATGACTACATTTCAAAACTGACCAGTTGTTATCTGGTTGATCGTAGTTTTGCAGGTGAGTATCTATCAGCTCGTTTGGAAGAAAGCAAAGTTCTTTCCCGACCATCCACTCCTTGGATGCTATCATAAGTTCTTTATTGATCGGGACGTGAACAATGACGTATTTCTTGTTAGTAGGCTAAAAATAACATAAGACGTCATTAAATGGTTTATCATCATTAATTCAACACTAATGAAACAAAATACATTTACACTAAAGTATGCAACAATGGGATTAGAACTAGATAACTGATACAATTTATGGCTATACATTCACAATCAATGTCCTTAACCGATACCCATATGTGTTCATGGCTAACTATGGAGCACATAAAGATTCCTATATCACTAGATGGGAAAGGATCTCCAAAGTAATTGCGTGGATCAGTGAAAAACCTAAATTTCAGTAGTCCATCCTCCTTTATATCAGTGACTAAACCAGGCTGCCCGTTTACTACTGCTACATTATCAGGCTTAAATGAAGTTATTTTACTATTCTTAAACATAATTACTTGTTTGTTGGAGACATCATCAGCGCCTATTGGGGTAGTATTTGTTGAACAGCTAAGTTGAGGCTTATCGTAGAAGGACATTTTCTCAGCATAACGCTGAGCTGCTTGCTTAGCTACAGCAAACCCACTGTGCACAGAATTCTTGATTTTTGTCTCATATAAAATTCGAATGGAAAAGCTGAAAAACTATCTAAAGGTCCGTGTGCACGAACGTCGTCAGGGAGGTGCTGTAACGAATGCGCATTGTAAACTAAGTTTTCAGACCCATAACACCATTTGTATTCTTTAAGGAATTTTTGTAAATCTATTCTGGCGGTTTCTACAACAGTATTATGTAGTTTCGGATGTGCAAGCAGATAAATGGATAACGCTAAACGCCGGAAATTAAGATACAAAGGTTGCGGCAATGTTTTTTGAAGAATCACCGGGCTGAAATACAGAAGGAACAACCTACATTCAGAAGCTTTCCATGCCGATACGAAGTCTAGTGTACGGCATTTACGCGGAAAGTCGTAAGGAGTACTTTCCACGCAACCTGATATTAAATTATTGATGTCCCTAATTGCACATGAGTTCAAGTTCAGCAGTCTCCTGTGTGCTAAATCTATCCATAAATTAGCCAGCTTTTTTGTGACACCTAGGTACACCATGTGCATAGGATTTAAAATAAAAGTTAAAATCATATTAATCGAAAGCATTTCCATTATAGAATGTCCTTTATGGTGGATTGATTGAGTCTGACGACGGAAGGTGTCGTCTGTTCTTAAAGTATACACCCCATTGGAAATTTCGTCTTCCTCTCCAGCCGTCTCCCAAGTACAGCACACTTATCGCAACCTGCCTTACCGTTATGACTTACCGTGTATCTAACAGAAGAACGAGCAAGTGCGGCACATATAACAGCCGCCAACCTAATAGCTATGCATTCATCAAACTTGACACTAAATATACCCACGTCAATCATTTCTTTCATTTCAGAAATTATGTTTACTACCATCTAGGATTGAAAACAGTCGAAAAAGGCGACATTCTGGCACGTTTTCCTCTTTCTCTTGCAAAGCATTTACCCCTTCATTTCCTCTTTGTTCACCTTTATTTCTCCTTTGTTGGTTGCTTGGGATATCAACCCACTTTTAGCAACAGCGTTCTCTATTTGGCAGGAGTTGATTAGATTGGAGCAAGTGAACAGACCAAAATATCAGTCCATGAAGTTACTAAATATCCATTTGTAGTGGAGACCTTCATTGTATTTCCTAGGGAAATTGGGATCTCTAGCATTGGATGTTAAGTAATGTGCGGCAAATGGATTCATCCAAAATCTCTGTTTTATTTCGTATGTCATAGATTTGTATTATATCATTCTTTTCACTTGTTCTTCTCTGAAACACGTTTTAGTTTCCCACAGCATAATTTCTTTAGTTTGACTTATTACACTTGTGATAAAGATTTCATTGTTTACCGACCACTTCTCCAAATGACCTCGCTTTGTATTACTATGCATTTTTATGCTTTTACTGTCCCATTGACTAATCTATCAATTTTATCTTAAGATTTTAGTGTCGACCACAGAAGATTCTAGTCTAATCTCGTCAAATCCAACTTAACTCTATCCTTTCAAAGATCCATTCGTGAGTAAAATCCAAACGCGTATAGAAGATGGTTGAGGTTAACGATGGTCGCCATTTTAAAAATCCTTACCAGGATTATATGCCTGGAGACCAGCTTAAAGTACTTTCAGTATTTACTTGTGCACCACGTTCCAGGTGGGAGATACAAACATCCCAAACAAAATTGTCGAACTGTTAAATGTTCTGAATTCGAATTTCGAGAAGTTATCGTCGTCTGACGTATCAATGTACACGGGCTTATCAGGTAAGTGTTGTGTGTTTTAGTCATCCGCAGTCAGTGAATCAGTCATATGCCACGTCGAACCTGACATATTTATGAATCGGTTCAAGCTGAAACATACCATCAGAACAGCGAAACGAGACTGCCAGGGCATGTCTCAGAAAGGTAGATATAGTAACAGTATTAGTGTTAATGGGAGAGACTAGGTGTGGAAAGTACAATTCGAGAAAATATGAATTTGTAGAATGAAAATATGTAAAACAGTTTAGAGATTTCATATGTAAACGAATGCACCTGTGACATTGCGAACGATTTTGAGCCACGTCACCCAAAGTCTCTAACAATCGGTCAAGACAATCACGCGGACTGAACCAGACAGTCTGAACTTAGTAACATGTCCCATTGCAGTGTCTTAATGTATTTGAACTAAGCCATGGTTTCAGATTGAATTAAATGACCAACCAGAAATGTGAAGACTTTTATGTGTGTATAATGAATTCTATGTTTTCCTTTGTTTACGCATACAGGTATTGTATTTTTGTAAGACATTAGGTGTGGCCCACCATGTCACATAAGTATATACGTGCTCCCACCACATCTATTCCGACTTATTAATCATTGAAAGTCAATTGACTGACTGGCTAATTCGATCAAGTGTTGATTCATATACCACATATCTAGTCATGTCATTTGAATAAATGTATCAGGATATGCCCTTCAATTTGAAGTAACAAGTCATAATCAGATTCTCGGAGAAATCCACCTGTTTATATTCTGTACTTCTACTGATGAGCTACACTAAGTGTGAAAGAAATATAATGTATGAACCACTGAGTCGACCAGTGAAATCCGTCACTGATCGTTGTTAGTGTAGTTGAACTAACGATGTTCATTTGTAAAACCTTTCATTGAATGTTGTTAGTATTGTGTTCCAGATTGGTCGTATCCCATTGTTTTGATATCGTTAGCAATTTATTCGGGACCATTTAAACCCACAAACAGACGTTGTCTATACATTGAGGTGTAAGAAATGTAGTCGTGTACTTTAGAATTTGTGAATAGTATGCGAACCACTCGATCAACTTGTGTGTCTTTCTATTTGTTTGTAGGTGTTGGACTGTTCTACAATTTCCTATCACAATGCAAATGTGAATTATTAGACAGAAAGATACGTGAAAATGGTGTTGTATGTACAGAGAAGTTGTTAAATCGATGTCTACGTCATATCGACTTGAAGAAGTTATCTAAAAATATCAGTGTTTACACTAGCCCGATTGGTCCATTGTGTTTAGGTGCTTTATCATCAGTCAAGCATGGAAGTGAGAATACAGAGGCAAAGAAGTTCGTAGAAGACATTTTGTCAGCGAGTAAATATGGCTTGGATGTGGACTGTGGGATGCCTGATGAAGCGTTATACGGACGTACTGGCTATCTAAATTGTTTGATAACACTTCGAGAAAATAATTTCGACATCCCTGTTTCTGTTGTCTCGTCGGTATGTGTTTGTGTATTTGTTACTGCTTTTGAAGTGTTTATTAATGAATTGTTTGTGCTTGATTGTGCAGAGGTGAATTACTAGAGAAGTGAATGGAAAGGTTTATTGCTCCAGTGTTGTTCTAGATAATTTGTCGGTTTATGAAACTGGTTCAGTTGAATAAGCTTTACAATGATGTGTTTGTGTCCACAACACCACAGGCGAGTTATTGCAATGCATGGTATAAATCCGATTCTCATGACCAATACTAATCATTGAAGCACAATCATCCGTTTTACGTTCCATGAAAATATTCAAGTGACTCATACTGTAACGTTTTACCCTTCCACGGTGTGGGCAACCGGGAAGTGATAACCGCCCTCATACCTCTAACGACACTCAAGACCACTGTATTCATAACCAACCTCCGTCTTCACTTCCTATTATTCCTCCTACATCGATTTTCACCTCTAAACTTCTTTTTTCGGCTTCCTCAAATGTCACCATAGCCAACGATTCTAGTGCTCAAAACACTGTCCCAGGTCTACTGAAACCTCGCTCCAAACTACACATTGGAGCCTTCAACGTACGCACCCTATGTCAAATCGGTCAACAGTCTTCCTTGGCTAAAACCCTAGAATCTCGTACCATTGATGTATTCTGTGTCTCTGAAACACGCATACAGGATCCCAGTGTGGTCATTCACTTGACCTCACCTCGGCAAAACGGTGAGTCAACGAGATACACCCTCCGTGTATCTGGTGACCCGATGGCCAGTTCTCGTGGACTGGCAGGTGTAGGCATAGCACTAAGCATGAGGGCGGAACAAGCACTGCTAGAGTGGATCCCCGTTAACAGTCGTTTATGTGCTGTCCGGCTAAACGGCTCTGTAACAACTCGGAAGGATAGGGACACACGTCGTTGCCTTTTTATCGTTTCTGCCTACGCACCCACCGACTGCAGCTCAGATAATGTGGAAGATGAATTTTACAGAAAGCTATCTGAACTTCTTCAGAAAGCTAAACGTTCAGACATAGTACTCGTAGCAGGTGACTTTAATGCCCAGATAGGTAGCTTAAACCAAACAGAAAGGCATTTGGGTGGGTACTTCAGTATTCCGGCTCAGCGAACAGATAATGGTGATCGTCTGCTGCAACTGTGCTCAGACAATCGTTTATTTTTAGCAAACACAAATTTTAAGCATAAGGAGAGACATCGTCTAACATGGCGACCCCCTACACCAAACCAACGATGGACTCAAATAGACCATATTGCCATCAGTCATCGTTGAAGAGGGTCGGTAGAAGATTGTTGCTCATTCTGGAGTACCTGCTTGGACTCCAACTATGCCCTAACACGGTCACGCATCTGCTTGAGACTCAGTAGACGCAAAAAAGCCACACTAAATAGACCCATTAGAACTGAATTGAGTAGCGAGAAAACCAAAAGTAGGTTCCAGGAACAACTGAGGTCACACTTAGGTAGTTCTGAAAACGAGGCTGACCCAGATGTTGCTTGGAAAGATATACAAGCAGCTGTGGAAACAGCAGTGACATCTATCAGTGATTTAAACCACAGGGTTACAAAGAACCAATGGATTTCTTCAAGGTCTATTGCACTGATGGATTCCTGAACACTCATCCCATCAGGCTCTGAACACGATGGAGAGCAAAAACAAGACAGATATAGAATAAACAAAAGTCTGTGGAACGACCGTGAGCAGCGAAAGCAAAAGAGATGGAAAAGGCGGCGGCTATAGGGAACACAAGACAGTTCTACAGACTAATAAAAGAAACTGGAATTAATAAGTCAAGTGTAAGTCAGACTATTTCGGAAAAAGACGACACCCTCATCTGCTCTCAGTCCAGATGTTTAGAATGATGGGTGGAACATTTCAGAGAACAGTTCAACTGGCCTTCAGCTACTCTACAACTACCCTCCATTCCCAGACAGTTTGAATGGAACATTGAAGTAGGTCCCCCAACTCTAGCAGAAGTTCAAAAGACTATAGTTAATCTGAAACGAAGAAGGGCAGCTGGTCCAGATGAATTGGCTCCAGAGGTCTTTAAGGGTGGTGGTCCAATTTTATCGATTAGGTTGACTAATACTTTAGCTAAGATCTGGGAGTTAGACGCTATCCCATCTGACTGGGATTAGTTTAACTAATATAGTATCTAAAATATTGGCCTCGATAATTATCAGACGCTTATCTAAGACTCATGAACTGCAAACACGTCGACAACCTCACTTATCTTAGAAGTCTGATCAGCCCTAATGGGTTGGTGTCTGACGAAATCTCAGTACGGATTCGAAAAGCTCGCTTGGCTTTTGCCAACTTTCGTCACCTATGGCGAAGGCGAGATATCCGTCTATCAATTAAGGGACGAGTATACTGCGCGGCAGTCCGTTCTGTTTTAATTTACGGCAGCGAAACATGGTCATTAGGAGTAGAAGACACTCGTAAGCTACTAGTATTTGACCACAGATGCCTCAGAAATATTGCTGGCATCTGCTGGGATCACCGGGTAAGTAATAGTGAGGTTAGACGCAGGGTATTAGGGGAGGATGGTAAATCAGTCGATGAGGTTGTGAATTTTCATCGACTGAGATGGTTGGGCCACGTGTTACGTATGGCCGAACACCGATTACCACGACGTGCAATGCTAACCGGTGTTCGGGATGTTTGGAAGAAAGTTAGGGGCGGCCAAACCAAAACGTGGCATCAGTGCTTGAAGTCACTAACTTCTAGTCTGAGCCATGTTGGTAGATGCCGACTACTTGGTTGGGGTCCGCGTGACTATCGTAACCAATGGTTGGAGACTCTTGGTAACATGGCTCAGAATCGGTCACAATGGCGTAGGTGTATACACTCTCTGTCTTCTCTTAAACTAAGAGATTAAAATCGCTTCATATCTTTCTTTCTACTAGTTCTTCCTTCCTGTACTATATCCTTAAATGCAATCGTTTTTATATATCATTACCATTGAATTAACTACTTTTATGAATCCGGTGTTCATCTTGTTGTGTTAATGAGGTATGACAACTTGGACCGATGCATATATGTGCCTGGTCCTACGTTGTAGCTGACCGACTGACCGATTATTTTACTCATCTCTTCAAGAATTATTTATTATGATTGTTTGTGCATAAAGTTGCGGCATTTCACTATCTGATTTGTGGATTTATGTGTTTTTCCGTGATATGAAAGTAGTAACATTAATGATAACAGTTTTACTTTAGATAACAGATGCTATATTGAAGTCGGGTCAGAAAACAGCTGGTGCTTACAAATCGAATGGTTTTTATAATCGATTGATGTATCAGTCATCGAAAAGAGATTTGTGCATGCCACCGTTGATGTTCGAATGGCATGATAAATGTTATCTTGGTGGAGCACATGGTTTTGCTGGTATCTTGACTACTCTACTGAAGGTAAGTTATTTGAACATGATGATATTTTTTTGATTGGTTTGTAACACAAATCATTAAATAACTCAGCTGCTTATGGGAAGATTGTTAATGAACGTAAAATAAGCCCCAAAAGTGAATTGGCTACTAGTAACCTACTGAATCTGATTTTGTGGAAAACATGACGTTTGGGCAACTCATTTTTTGGGGATTGATGTATTAAAAATTTAACCACTCCGTTATTATCATCTTAATCCCAAGCTACTATGTTTAGTAACGTGTTTGCAACTGATTCCCGTTAGTATTTCATTTTATCAACTTTCGAATTTCGATACCAATTGCTCTATCTATTTTGCTTCTGTTCCTAAAAAAAGAAAATTGTTCCCTTATTCCCAACTATAAATCGTTTCAGTAATGCTTACACTTCTCTATCTTATTGTAAATCATATATGTGTGATTTACCGAGTATCAAGATGAATTTTTTATTCTAAGAATAATCATCTCTTTCATAAATCAGGTGGATTGATTCTTAAACTTCTATAATTCTTGAATATTGAGTCATTCTGGGGCTCTCATTACTTCGAGTTCATTCGTCCACCTTTATTCATTTTTTTTCTGTAGTACTTTCACTACCGATGGTTTGATTTATCACGAGTGAAACTTTAATTGATATTTAGCGAAGCTTCGCTGAAGTCGAAGCAGTCTTAACTCCTACTAATCTGCTGATACATACCTTTTCTATCATCAATCTTGAGTCTGAATGAGAGAAAACGACAGGCAAGCTTAAGACGTTAGCTTATAGCAAAATGGAGGATCAAACAATAATTGCGATGAGACGTTGAACATGCGAAATGCATTTTTATGAATGTGTGTTCATCTGTCGTTTAATTTTCAAGATTGAAGTCGATCATTATCTGTTGAAATACATCCATACTATTCTGAATCGTTGATAATGTCTTTTCATTACAAGGTTTAAATGTGTTTGGATTCTGTTCGGTGGGTTCGTTTTATCCTATTCAGAAGTCATCAGTCGGACGTACTTGCATCTCAAACTTCAGCTGATAAGTTCCAAATAGGATAGAATGCGAATGCTGAATTCCACTGCTAGCTAAAATTCAAATAGAAATACAGTTTGAAGAACGAAAATTTATCAATAGTTACGGACTTAATATTTGTAGGAATACAAAGAATAAATGCAACTGCATCACTGACATCGGTTTTTCCCTTTTTGACTTTACATCTGGAACCATAGTTTACAATTTATATGGGTTGTTAGAAAAAAAACTATACACCTTTCTACATAGCTCAAACCAATAGTGTCAGTACAACTCACCACATACTAGTCAATGAAGTCATCTTTTAGCCTCACTTATTTGAGTGTTAGTGATACTACTAAGCGGAAAGAATAGTTGATGAACTGCTAATTTGAACTTACAACCTACTGGTTGAAAGCTGATCACCTTGATTACTAAGCGAGCACTCGATGATATAGTGATATAAATTAAGTCAGCTTGAAGGGCTGTATATTTTTTCTAGTTTGCACGGTGTTTACATCAGTGTGTATTTCTATCTATCAGGCTCGTTATACTCTTCATTAAGAAAATGAGAAATTTTCCACCGTTAAGCAATACTAGTTATATGTTTTACTCACGTGTTATTTACTTATTTAACAGGTGATCTAGTCGTTTAGCGTAAAGGGGAGTAAAACAATTTGAAAAGTAATATATTGTGAGTTATTAACTGAAGCAACAGTAGAACTTGTTCTGAAATATCTTTCAAATAGTAAAAGACTTCAGTCATCTAATTGTTTAGTCTAGTTGGTTATTATTCACTATTTGTATACAAGTAGTCACAAGGATACAACTTTCAGTGTTTTTTGATCTACATTTCTACTGTGATGTCTATTGTGTTTATATTCAACTGTTTAGTGATTTTGTAGATTTCAGTTTAGGCAACCAGCTAACGTTACTAGCCTTCATTTAGAGTATGACTCAAGGCCAAATACATGTATCTGTATCTGATCAACGAGTTGACCATTGTTAAAACTTACCACGTTTACAAAGAGAATAGGGTAAAAAGAACCCTTTTTTAAATTTTTTTCGAGTTAATATGGGAAATGATGACCCATCTCGTTATGAATTGATACTTTGATCATTGTAATAAATTAGTCGTGTTTAATCATTTTCCATCATGTTTTGCTCTAAAGGTATATCGTTTGTTTCCTGGTAGCATATCATCACATTCCTTAAACCAGTTAATTCTACCTACTGTTGATTGGATGAGTCAACTTCAGATAATCAGCGGAAATTGGCCTTCTAGTTTAGGGGATAGCTTAAATCGTGATGTATTAGTTCATTGGTGTCATGGTGCAACGGGTGTTATTCCACTTATGCTCTCAGCTCATAAAGTAGGTTAGCAATATTATTTTAATAAATGATTCAATCATTTTGTAGTTCACTTCACAGGATAGCTACTTAAAACCAAGAAGCATTAGTTAGCTGTCTCGTCCCAGTATGGAACCCCTCAGTTATACACATCGACGGCTTCACTGAAAATCAGATTCATAATAAATGCTATACATGATTAGAATGCATTCAAAACTGTTATACTTCTGCGTATTATACTTTAATATAGACCTATACACAGCCAAATACCTATGGGAATATATTCACCGACGTTATCCTACTACTTCACGAATTAGATCCTTAGTTCAAGTGAATGATTGGATGTCTGAAAAAAAACTAATTATTTCAGTCGGCTTGCAGTATGTGTCCTGTGCCTTTTACATAAAGTAAATCTGGTACCCCAATTGCACTAAGGAAGTTTATTTAGCTTTATACCCTAGCTAACTTTAAAACGTATAAAACTATTGCAAAACAACTTCCTTAATTCCTATAAGTCCGGGTCTTTTAATTCCATTGATGATTTTCCTCATTGACTCATCCTGTTTGGAGCTTATTCAAGTATTCTAGGTAAAATTTAGATCGGTATCATGAAATTAAGTAAGTGGGATATATCATAAACCATCTCTTAGTAGTACCTGTTGCGTGGCCGCCTGTATGGATAGGTTTGCTTGAATCAAATTTCATTTGACTTAACAGATTAATGGGTTTCCACAGGAGACTTATGATATAATGAAAAAAGCAGATACTCAAGTTATGTTGAAGCTTGTGTGTATTTGTATTAGTCTAGTCCGAGCATTGATTAATCCGCCTATACTGTCTATTTAGTACCAATGACAGTTCTGAGAATCAAACTTTACTTAATATTTACCCAAAGTACTCTATACAAAAGGAGATATACATTAGTTTGCATAAAATCTGTACCTCCATATTTATAGCGCTTGACACTCGAGATAGGAAATTTAAGTAACTATTTCATTCACATAATTCAGTTACTGTAACCTATAATGGTGCACATGGGTTCCAGTATCCTGCGGGAACAAACGGCGTATGAACCAATCGTTGGTCACCGGCTACCATAGGACTGCATCTCCTCACGATGCTCCACTGGCATGTGTGTTCAGACCTTTAGGTCAAAGGCTCGGGGTGCGGCCCCCTAAGAGAACCAACTGCTTCGGTTTGGGCACCCGGGCAGTATCACAGCCCACACACAAACATGGTAAAATGTCTATATTTATGGAAAATACTTGTCTTGCTTCGATTAACAGTCAAACGATTCACATTATTATTATTATTATTATTATTATTATTATTATTATTATTATTATTATTATTATTATTATTATTATTATTATTATTATTTCGTACGTCATTTATTCACTCTCTTTTATTCCCACTCTGTGTATCCTTATTTTTCGAATTATACAGCAGCTCGCCTATAGTGGGAACTCGGTTCTATATAAACGTTCTCTAGTCGCTGCCTGGTTGAAAATTGTATGCTACCACCAAATACGAATACTGAAGCAGTTTTTCTGAAACCACGTGCACTATTCAAACTGGCCGCCTTCAACGTTCGCACACTTATGCAGGTCGGACAACAGGGGCTGGCTATGTCTTTGGAAAGTCTTAATATTGATGTTTGTTGTCTATCCGAGACCTGTATTCAAGACTCTAGTGAAGTAATATGAATTCGCTCTCCATCTGTCGCTTCAAAAAGCTTGTTTTACATGCGTTTATCCGGGGACCCTGTGGCATCTTCGTCTGGTGTTGCTGGCGTTGGTGTCGCACTAAGCGCCAGAGCTGAGGCAGCACTAATTTATTGGATCCCCATTAACAGTCGGTTATGTGCTGTTAGATTAGAAAGTTCCATCAAAGTGAGAAGAAATCGGCGTGAGAAACGATGTCTTTTCGTCATCTCAGCCTATGCCCCGACAGATTGCAGCCGGGATGCAATCAAGGATGAGTTTTACCACCAGTTATCTGTTCTTCTCCAGAAAGTGCGTTCGATAAATATTGTAGTATTAGCTAGGGACTTGAATGCTCAGGTCGGGCGTCTAGGCACAGAAGAGAGTCGTTTAGGTGGCCGATGAGGACTTGTCGGTCGCAGGACAGATAACGGGGACCATCTATTGCAATTATGCACATATCACAACCTATTTCTATCTAGCACTAACTTTCGGCATAGTCATCGCCGACGTTCCACCTGGCGTCCTCCCTCTGCATCTCAAGCCTGGACTCAGATTGATCACATCGCTATCAGCTACCGCTGGCGTGGTTGTGTACAAGACTCCCGCTTTTTTGGAGTACCTATCTGAACTCTGATCATACCCTTTTTTGTCTAATCTTACCTTACTTTTCAGTGGCCAATAAATTCATCGTCCTAAACGGATTGATGTGTTAGTAAATTGGTTGCAATTTCTGTTGCAAGTAAGTATCGAACCGAGCTAGGTTCTAGGCTAGCTACCATTCCACCAAAAATTATAGATGAGCATTGGTTGCAATTGCATGACGCCATGAAAATGGCGGGTACAGTCAGTTGTGGGTTTGCGAAACGTCCCGCTTATAAGCACTGGGTTTCTTCAGGCTCCTTACAACTCATTGAAGCCCGTCGGCCTACTCCGGGTGACCATGACGACCACTGAAAACCTGTAAGCATTGGACGGTTGTTTCGTTCTATTGTGGGACTACTCAGCAGTGCGCATCCATGGTCCCGCTCGTGGGATTCGAACCCAGGGCCCTCAGTTTCGCTCGCGAACGCTTAACTTATTGGACCACTGAGCCGGCATTCAATGGTGTTAATGCCTAACCTCAACCAATTCACGAAGTTGCCCGACCATCTTCCATTGTACTGAGGCAAACACCTGTTTCCACCCGACACGGATTAGCGGCCTAATAAGAAGCTCAGTAATTGAACACCTTGTGAACACAGGTCACTCAATCAAGACAGACTCTGCGTTCAAAGTCATCCACAAGGTATGTAGAAGTCTTCCAAAGACAATTAGACTGCATCTTCTTTACATTGCCGAAGCATTAGCCATACATCTGGAAAAACCAGAATTGTGTGTGCAAAAACGACTGGTACAACTTCTACCATGGTCCTGATGTTTTATGATTTTTTATTTTTATCTTTAATTTCTCTCTTTCTTCACACTCTTCTTCCTTTACAGCCATCTGCTTCATCCTCCATCTTCCCCTTAAATTTTCTGCTCCCAACTGGTTCATTTTGTTTCTACGATCATCCTCATTGTATTTAATCTCAATTTCAACCTTATCTTATCATGTTGAGCTGAACGTTTCCCTATCTATCTTTTGATGAATACTTATGCCATTAAAAATCAAACGATTATTAAACGTTCCTTGTTTTTAAAAGAATTTTCTTTCAATAACCTTGTTTATTTAACCTCACTGTCAACATGCTTAACAGAAGGTTATTATCAGTATTATTATCATCCTGTAAAAATAATACATGAAAACAAACGACTTTATTTAAAGATGAATAAAGACATTTTAGATCTTTAAATATATAACTATCATTTTCAAAAAAGTATGAAAATCGGATTCGCAATATGTAGTGTACATGAACTCAATGATTTCAACAAGATAACTAGTATATAAACTGAATCTAATCATCATTTGCTATCGGAATGCATGTGCTGACGTTTCTTATTCGCCTCATGATTAAGTGATTATCTAAGAAGGCCATTTATCTTGAATATTTATTTATTATTACCAAATACATATGCGCCATACAAATTTCATTTGATATTTGCGAGAGCTGTGATACTGCCCGGGTGCCCAGAGCGAAACAGGTGGTTTTCTTAGGGGACCACACCCGGAGCCTTTGACCTAAAGGTCTGATCCACAAGGCGGTGGATCAATGTCAGGAGATGTATTCCCATGGTAGCCGGTGACCAACGACTGGTTCATACGCCATTTTCCCCCTCAGGATACTGGGGCCCATGTGCACCATTGGTTTGGAATCAGCATTTCCCAACTCCCCTAAACGGACTCTCCATGTCTACCAACCCTGTTAAAGCGCCGGACATTCGCTTTTCGTCCTCTGAATTTCGTAAACAACACCCCTGATGTGAGAATGCAATGAGTAGGACTTCCCTGGCAGAGGCTATATACGCGTGGCCATGTGAGAGCATTTCGAGAGGGTGAGCGGACTCTCCCTAATCTCGGCCGTACCAGGACATTTGGGGGCAATCTTGAACCGTATAACCGGGTAGTATTGCGTCTTACATAAAATGCTGGATTTTTCGAACGTACTCTTAATACATGAAACAAATCATAATGCATAAAAACCTATATGTACTGTCTCGTGACAAAACGTTTTGTGGAAACGTTGTTAGACGAGAGTTTTCTGAGCAAGGCTATGAGAACAAACATTTCGTGTCCAATCTGTAATAGGATTATTACTATCAACCATCAGTGAGTCTGTGAAGTGGCGAAATAGGAGTTAGAAACTAATCAAACTGCACTTAAAATATTCTCCTTTTATTTAGATAGATATGTATGATTTTTAAAGTTCATCGGTAGTTTGTTTACTGTTATTTAACCTCTGTGTTGTTACATTCTATAGATTACAGGTGAAAATAAATATTTGAAGTGTGCATTAGATGGAGGAGAAGCTGTATGGACTCGTGGTCTACTTCACAAAGGCTGTGGTCTATGTCACGGTTCAGCTGGTAGTGGTTTCGCTCTATTAGAGATTTATCAAACAACTCAAGATCCCAAATATTTGTATAGAGCTATAAAGGTTGGTGTCAGTTCAGTGACAGTGGTAGTTCAATGCATTTAAAGTATATGTATTTTTTCTTTTGTTTTCTGAATATGTGTGTATTACAAACTTTACAATGTGTCATTATATTTGTTCTGTATATTGTGTATAGTTTGAAGTACAACATTGTAGTGTTTCACTTGAAATCCTCATTTTTCTGTTCACCATTACATGTTTTGAGTGGACGGTGTCTGAATTCACTTACCTTTACTCTAGTTTGTAATGATATTGTAAGTTGGTGAGGTACTGGTGTATTTTCACGTTACTCCATAATTATGATACTGTTATATTTTATAGTGTGAATGAATGTATTTTGTTAGGTTATTTGTGTATAGTTGTGGGTAGATGATTTATGTTATGATCTGTTGAGTCAGGGGTTGAAAACCATTGAACTGTTCTATGTTTATGTAGAACTGTATTACAGTCATAACAAATATGTATCCTAGATGTAGTTTGTGGCTGAACGTACGTGTGGTCACTGTGTTTTTCAATCATTAGATAGACACAAAGCTAGCTGTATTTGTACCGGATTATATGGAAATTTCGGTCCCCCAATGTGTACCGTTTAATTTGTGTCCAAATAAAGTGAGTTGCTTGCTTGGATTTCTTATTTACCGTCTTCAAGGTTCTCGTTTCCCTGTTGAACACTACATGTCACAGGTCTCACATCTTTTCATAAGCTCGTGTTGTATTTAAATGGTCGTCACCTATCGAGGCGTTCGACATTGGAGCAGTTGGTCGCCAGTCAGTTATTTGTCATTAAGAACTGTTTATCGACCCATTGATTTGAACTGACTGCTTCGATTGAACTAATTCATTATGATGTTAAATCAGTTGTTTAACTGGTTCCATAATCATAATAGCGGTTACCTTTGAGTGATTGTTTAGTCAACATCTCGATGATCAGATCGATGAACGTAATATTCATTTGGCATGATATTTTTCTGTCTTAACCATCTGCGAAGATTTATGTGACTTTTAGAATAGTCAACCAGACAATTTAAATCAAAAGAAACTTATGATTGTTCAATGTTTTTACATTTGCTCTCCAGTTCGCTGAATGGTGTACCGACTGTTTTAAAAATGCTACTCGCGTTGCTGATCGTCCGTACTCACTTATGGAAGGTTTGTTTAGTGTGCTTTTCCATTTGTAACTAAGATTAATCCCTCTTGTTGCTAATATAGTTTCACACTAATATTACACGTTAGTCCTCATTTAAATGGTACCCACCAGGAGTTTGTGGAGTGTTGTGGAAGAAACTAACTTCGCATTGATGTGTCTACTTTTGAGTAGTGATATTGCGATAGAAAAGTCACATCTTTTCATCGGTTAATTGACAGTGACTCGTATCCAGTTGTTAAAGTGATGATAGCCTACTGATCGGAATGTGAATGGTCAATGTATTTTCGATGTGCGGATAGGTGATATATCGGAACATCTGGAGAGTGTGAACACAGAATGAATGTATGGAAATAGACCTAGAATTGTGTTGAGTTTTCCTGTTGTTAGCAATTAGTAGGGTATTGCTCAATTGAAATTACTCACTTTTCTGATCTGTTAGGATTTTCATTTGAAATGATTGAATAGGGAACTACTTCCACTTTCCATCTCCGTACGTAATGTTTTCCAGTACGTAATCAAGTATCACTGTTCCATTCATGCCGTGTGAATTTGTCATGGATAAGGGTGTTAGTGATTTGATTGGATCGAATTTTCGACTGTTAAATCAATGAATAGAATGCTAATCGACTGATGGGCACGATGATGGCGAGTGTGACCGAGTGGTTTGCTAACGTGACTGTATTACCGACGGAAGCCGCCAAGTGATTATAAATCAGAGAGAAAACGACTAGTCGGATGAATATCTTCCATATGTGGTAAAATAACATGGTTATGTAGAGACTATGAACACACAATAAGCACGACAAACTGTGACAACCAATTAGAGTTAATTAACATGTAGGTCGTCGATTCCGCAATCAATTAAGGTTTGACTGTTAGTCCTAGTCTTTGTGCATTGTAAGAGAAGTGTAGATGTATGATGGATTGTAAAATGTTATGTGTTAACAATGAAGTCATGTGTGAGACAGGTGTTCACCACAGGCAATGAATAATGGGGGTTGTGGGACATTGTGAATTGGTTGAAGTAAATCATTCACACTGTTGGATGACGGCTGGTTTCGGTTTCCGTGTTTTGAGTCGTGGATGTGCATTCGTGAGGAGTAGTCTCTAAGTAGAGTGAATAATGGATGCCATCGTTACAGTGTATTCTCCTCCTTCCCTTGTCATGAATACTATTCTATCGTAAAACAACAAACTATTCGATCTTCTCATTTCCAGTTTGTTATGTGGGAAGTTGACTATTATTTATCGGTTTGACTGAATTGTATTTATTATTTTGAAGTGATAGTTAGTTCAGTGTAACAGTTTGTTTTTTGTGTTCATATTGTGTGTTTAGGTCTTGCTGGGACACTGTACTTCCTTGTTGGTATTTTGGATCCAGTTAATTCGAAGTTTCCTCTACTAAGTGGATTGTGAATAGAAAGAAACAATGATTTTATTTATATCTATTCAACTAACTTTGTCTGTCATTTTGTACTCGCATCTATTTGTTCATCATTCACTTAGTTTATGAGAAAATGTTATTTGAGTCTCGTGTCTGCCGAATAGTTCACATTTGTTTTAACGATATTATATTCAGTGTATTTTGTGTTGTATACTCTGTTTAGTCTAAACCCGTGTGTGAAAATGCCAGTTTAAGGCATACTGTGTATATTTAACGGTGTTGATTGTTTGAATATTTGATGAGCATCGTACTGTGTTTGCGTTTGTTTTCTTTAAAGTTGATAGGAGAAGTGAGTAGTCTGACAAGTAATGGATATGTAGAAGAGACGTGGGTGAGTGTATACATATGGTGAAAACATTGTTAACTGTAATGATGTGTCATGTTTTTGTAATTGCACTCACAGTATATTTAGAATTGCGATTTCTGTTGGACGTTGAGAGCTGGATCATAGGAGCGAATTTTTGTTAGTGTTGAAAGATAGTTGTTCGACCAATATGGTATGTGTATAGGTGTGATGATATGAGATTTGTTTTGTCTCCGGACCAACATTTCGACAAACTAAGTCAACACTTAACAACTCATGGTTTGTAGTTTAAAAGTCATTTTAATATTTCATACATGTATTGTTTGGACGTATTTTACAATGAATCATGCCCATCGAAAAGTCATTAAGAGCCGAGTAAACTCTTGGGAACATTTTGTCGAATCAGGATTGAATGAGCGTTTCTTCGGAATATTTTAAAGGAAAGTCATGGTCAACGTAATAAATATAGTGTGGTGTGTGCTACTTATACGGACAGATATAGGTAGTATGTGGTAGTTATGGGAAGTTAATTCCTTGCTGTGAGAAGAGGAGGATGATGAAGAGAAAAAGAAAAACAGAGCACTGGTAGTAGCAACAAGAATGGAGGCACAATTGGGTTTGTAAAGGTCAACTGAAGGAAGATGTGCAAATGGTGTGTTGGATGTATTGTCTTTATATTTTACGAATTCAGTATGTAATTAAAGACAGTGCATTTAGTTCACACCTTCCCATGTCTTCGTACTTAATAATCGGTGTCGCTGTCACTACGCAGGATGAAGATTCCGTGGCCACTGGAGTTCGAGGAAGGAGATGTACGGAGTGTGTTGATAGAGTTTGGGACTGGTGCGTAGGTGGCAGGTGTGTAGAAGCCTAGGGTGAAGGTGTTGGTGCTGGAGACGTTACTGAGAGACTGAGCGAAATGGGTGTATGACAGTGTGGATAATGCCGGCGGGAAGACGGAATGGGAGGTAGTCACGGAGCGGTTGTTATAGACTTTGGCAGTCAAGTTTACTGGGAGAAGGCACTGAAGAAATTTACGGTGAATTTCGATCTGCTAGTGTTTCCAGCGTGTCTAACCTTATTGTTACTTCGTGAGCCGTCGATTTTGAATGAGTTTTCTGTCGTCTGGCTTGCTGGCGTCGAAGTTTATTGAGGACTACAGCATGAGTTAGCCGCAATACGAATAAACAAGTACAGAAATAATATGTGTTAAGCTTGTGAGGGAACAGGCCATTAGAAGAGAGACTGAAAGCCGAAACACACTGTTTGCATATGTTCCTTGAGTTGACCATCTTAAACACTACTGTTCTTTCATTCCTGTTGCTAGTACCATTGCTTTCTGTTTTTCTCCTCTCTTTATCATCCCCTTTTTGCAGAAAGAGATTAGCTTCCTATATCTGTCCGTATAAGTAGCACGTACTACAGTGTTTATCATGATTGTATGACTCTCTATACGATCAAAGTATGATTATATTGAATACCGACCACCAAAAATTAATCGTATTTAATTAGTTTAGCTGTGTCATGAATGGTCGTCTACTATTATTTATGCATCGCTAATTGTTATGTTGGAATCGCTTATACTTGTAAAACGAAGAACCATTGCAGTTTTCACAACGCGATGTAAGAACATCAACACTGGCACAAGTGAAGACTTATTAACGCCAAAAACACGACAACGACTCTAGTCGAAAGTACACTTGTTACATATATTGACTGTACACCCATTTTGATTATTAATAAGGGTGAAATCACATATTTTTTTTAAAAAAAATACCCCGAGTTATAACGAATTACATTCTGCATGTTATCCTGAGCATAGTTCATGTGGATTCAATAAAGGAATATCGTATGATGAACAAACATTACACTCAGATAAATCATTGTTATGCTAAATAATATATCATATTGGAAAACGAAAACAAAATACTACACTGTGTAATTATCACATTAAATTAAAAATACAGAAGTAATATTGTACAAAAAATTACAATGAATGAAAGAATACAATTTTGCTTCTTAATTCCATCATATCACTTCCCCTTCTTTCTAATGGAATGCGAAGAAATGAGTTTTCTATGGAGAGGAGTCTATTTGAATGGTTTTTGTTCTTTTTCTTATTTCCAGTGACCTTGGCTGATCATGTGGTCGTATTCCAGCTTCCAGTTGGTTTTTTGTCTTTATTTTAGAGAAAAAAATTTAATTAACGTTCTGATTTCTATGTTTTGCTCCTTCGTTCAATGCATACACGATTCTCTCTCTCCTACGAAACAACATTGGATCTTTATGTACACACGTCACATATAATGTGACTCTGTTGACCTGAATTGTCTTAACACTACTCACATCTTCATTATAAGAGAGTATTAAGACGTGTAGGTATACATGAAGGTTGAAGGATCCTTGTGTAAGATCTCGATCTGTATGGGTAATATTATATATGGTGATTTCTCTGCCTTTCATTACAAAAAATCAATGCAATTATTCAATTCACAATACGACTAAGTACATTTTACATTCTGACTTGTCAGTAAAAGTGCATGTGATTCATGTAGGATCGGTTTGTCTCCAAAGCATTTGAACGGGACATTGTTTCTGCATCATACTCGTTAGGATCAGTATGTAATTGCATTCTACATACAGGTATATTGCAATCGGACTGACATTGAATTATTGAAACAGTAGATATTTTTTTCGCATGTGACATTCACTCTGTCCGAACAAACACGATAGATATCATCGGATTCGTTGGATATTTGTATATAGCTATAACATATCGAAATTTGATGGCTGCTCAATCAATTTTCCAGTACTTTGTGTAAATTGTTCGTATTTAACGCTTTTGGCGAGATGGAATCCGCTCGCGTGTTTTCTTCATTTAGTCTCAGCATCCTGAGATAGGTATGGAGTTTTGAATCAGCGTCTAGTATGGCCGCTTTCATCTTAGACAATCCTTATTTCTAACATAGCAGGTACCGAGCCTTACCCTGTTCGTCGTGTTTTTGGCGTTAATAAATCTTCACTTGTACCAGTCTTGATGTCTTTAAATCGCGTTGTGAAAATTGCAGTTGTTCTTCGTTTTATAAGTATAAGTAATAAGCGATTCCGACCTAACAATTGGCGACACATTCATAGTATTTGTTAGTTAGCAACAATGTAGAAATTCTTACGTACTTCCATCAGTTCGAGTTGCCATACCACATTAGCACACAGATACAATTGTCGATTCAAATCCCATAGTGATAGAGGTAGTAAAAGTATAAGCAGTAATCGGAAAGATTAGGGTTTGAAGATGTTATTCAAGGAGTATAATCGAGTGAAATAAATTCGGAAAGAGAAAAAAGGAATATGAAGAATTCAAAAGATTAGAATTTGAGGGGACTCACCTGCTCCATTGCAAACGATTTTGAGCCATGTCATTCAAAGTTTCTAACCATCGGTTGCTATCGTCTCCCGGATCCCAACCAGGTAGTCTGCACCTACCTACATGGCTCAGTTCACTTGTCAGTGACTTCATGGATTTGTGCCATGCTTTGGCCTAGCCGCCCCTAGCTTTCTTCTAACCTACTCGTACACCATAAAACATCGCACGTCGGGGCAGTTGGTGGTTGGGCGTACGTAACACATGACCCAGCCATCTCAACTGATGAAGTTTCACTACCTTATCAATTGACTTGCCAGCCTTACCTAGTGTAGCGGTAAATAAATCCCCAAAATAAATAGCTCTGTAAGTTTTCGACATTGGATGCTGACCACATGATTTAATGGACTCACGTAGCTGAAGGCGCTCGGTCACGCATCCGCACCAGACCACGTGTGGGAACGCCGTGCTCAACATCTACTGCAATCGCTAGCCAAATTAGATCAGATGATTCTAGATATATTGATATCACATCAAATATATCTTCCAATCTCCTCTATTCTGCCTTTTAATTTTTCTTGGTGGGTGCGCTTCATATTAGGTGTTACTGGTTAAAGCGTTGTCAAACACTGAATACCTGTGCCGTCTTCACTAGTACCCGTTTCCTAACAACTGCATTAATTAGTCGGCGGTACCAGGACATACGTGCGGTGCTTCGAAGGCATCTGTGATCTAATAATGGTAGCCTACGAATATTCTCTTCTCTTGCCGGCCATGCCATTAAAGTAGGACGGAACGAACTGTTGAGCAGTAAACCGATCCTCTGACTGGTAGACGGATATCTCGCCTACGCCATAAATGACGCAAGTTGGCAAAAGTTAGTCGAGCCTTCTGCATCCGTGCTGAGATTTCGTCACACACCAGACCACAAGAGCTGATGAGACTTCCAAGATAAGTGAAGCGGTCGACACACTCAACTACTTTACTCCCTATCATTAGTTCGGGTGTCGATGCAACCCAATCCTGAAGCAACGTTTTACATTTCAAGGGGGAGAATCGCATCCCGAACAAGCCTGCATTGTTGCTTACTGTGGTCAGAAAACTCTGCATTTTGTCAGCGTCTTCACCAGATAAAACTATGTCATCAGCATATTCTAAGTCAACAAGTGAACCTCACGGTAGAAGGTCAACCCCTGGAAATCTAGACGAGGAAAGTGTTATCTCTAAAAGTATGTCAATGACAAAGTTAAACAAGAACGGGGAGAGTGGACAGCCCTGACGAACACCACTTGAGGTAATCAATTGTGATGACAGTTCGCCATAAGCTCTCACTCGACCAGTTGTGTTCGAGTAGAGAGCCTTTATAGGGTTAATGTACTTCTTTGGTACTCCTTTCAGTGACAAACACTGCCATAGAACCTTACGATCAACAGAGTCGAATGCCGCCTTAGTGTCGAGAAATACTACCATTGTGGGACGTCTGAATGGGTGTCTATGTTTTTGAACCTGACGTAGTGTGAATATCTGATCTAAACAACCACGCCCAGGTCGGAAATCAGCCTGATTTTCTCTAGTCTGTTCTTCACGAGC